TCTGTTCATTAGTCATGTCTCTAGGCCCCTCTTATATTACTATTGCTTTCTATTCTGATTTTTTATTCATACAAAAAATACAAAATTTACCGTTATGCAGACACTGCATTAAGTAAAAAGGGGATAAATAATATCAGTGCACTAGTAAAAATATTTCGATCTCCAGTTGATGTGTATTGGAATTCATGTATTTGTTTTTCTCTTGAACTTTGGAAAAATTAACTTTCTGCATTTGAGCTCAATTTCAATCTTTTTCCCCCCCTGAAACTAACAAAATCATCTCTATTTTGGAATATGTTTTCCATTTTACAGAAAACCCATGAAAAACGAAAACAATGAAAAATACATACAAAATACACCTAAAATCAGCGTTTTAATCCAAAAAAATGTCAGTTTTTTTTCATTATGCACGCATGCGCGGTTTTTTTTATGTGGGAAAACTGACCACACAACCCATTCTCCCACAGTGGGCCTACCAGTTTTCTCCTGCTGATTTTAAGCCACTAGAATTATTGAGTAGTACAGTGGACCCCCCAACCACGAATTAAAACCCTTCCTGAGAGCTCACGTTTGTCAAAAATTTTCGTTTTAATTAATTTTTCCCCATAAGAAATAATGGAAATCAAATTAAATCCGCCAAGGCACCCAAAAAATTTGAAAAAAAAAATTTTTACCACATAAATATTTAATTTTTAAAAAAACACAAACTGAAGATTACATGCAAGTTACATGACCTTACCTTTTTGAAAATCTGGGGATGATTGATTGGGGGGGGAGGAGGGGGGGTGTTGTGTTTAGATGGGGGTCCCCTTCCATTGCCTTGAGGCAGCAAGTCTTTTTTGGGGTTACTTCCCCTTTTTCTTTAAATGCCACTAAGACCACTTCAATCACTGATTCTGTGCACAACATATCTGTCCCCTAGATACCTGTACCTCTCGTTCCTTTTGACTTTCCCAAAAATGGTTCACAAATTTTCAGGTAAGGTTCCAACACGGCTTTCATAGTGTGGGCAGGGGATTTTTATCAAAAAGGGTTTTCACTTCAAGGCACTTTGCACACATTTCCCTTTTATCTTAGAAGTAGGCACTTCTTCAATTTCTCTCTCCCCTCCTCCGAAGCAATTTCCTCAGGTCTGCCCTCTTGCTGTTCAAGATGATTTAGCAGATCATCAGTGGTTAGCTCTTCACTGTCCTCCACCACCAACTCTTCCACATCCTCCCCACTAACTTCCAACCCCAAGGACTTCCCCAATGCCACAATGGATTCCTCAACTGGCATAGGATTCTCAGGGTTAGCCTCAAACCCTTCAAAATCCCTTTTGTCTACACATTCTGGCCACAGTTTTTTCCAAGCTGAGTTCAATGTCCTCTTAGTCACTTCCTCCCAAGCCTTACCTATAATGTTTACACAATTGAGGATGGTAAAATGTTCTTTCCAAAACTCTCTTAGAGTCAGTTGAGTTTCTGAGGTCACTACAAAGCACCTTTCACACATAGCTTTTGTGTACAGTTTCTTGAAGTTGGAAATAACCTGCTGGTCCATGGGCTGCAGGAGAGGAGTGGTATTAGGAGGCAAAAACTTCACCTTAATGAAGCTCATGTCCCTAGAAAGTCGCTCTGCCACATCTGTAGGATGACCAGGGGCATTGTCTAATACCAGGAGGCACTTAAGGTCTAATTTCTTTTCAATTAGGTAATTTTTCACATTGGGGGCAAATGCATGGTGTAACCAGTCATAGAAAAAGTCCCTAGTGACCCATGCCTTACTGTTTGCCCTCCACAGCACACACAAATTAACCTTGAGGACATTGTTTTTCCTGAACACTCTGGGGGTTTCAGAGTGATACACCAATAAAGGCTTCACTTTGCAATCACCACTAGCATTGGCACACATCAACAGAGTAAGCCTGTCTTTCATAGGCTTATGTCCTGGGAGTGCCTTTTCCTCCTGAGAAATTTTGTACGTCCTGCTTGGCATTTTTCTTCCAAAACAGGCCTGTTTCGTCACAATTAAACACTTGTTCAGGTTTCAGTCCTTCACTGTCTATGTACTCCTTGAAGTCCTGCACATATTTTTCAGCCGATTTGTGGTCCGAACTGGCAGCCTCACCATGCCTTATCACACTATGACTGCCACCACGTTTCTTAAATCTCTCAAACCAACCTTTGCTGGCCTTAAATTCACTCACATCACTAGTTGCTGGCATTTTTTTAATTAAATTGTCATACAACTTCCTAGCCTTTTCACATATGATCGCTTGAGAGATGCTGTCTCCTGCTATCTGTTTCTCGTTTATCCATACCAATAACAGTCTCTCAACATCTATCACTTGCAATCTCAGTTTCGAAAACATAGTTGCACCTTTGGCAAGAACAGCTTCCTTGATTGCCGTTTTCTTGCTCACAATAGTAGCGATGGTTGATTGGGGTTTATTATACAACCTGACCAGCTCAGAGATACGCACTCCACTTTCATATTTATCAATGATCTCTTTCTTCATCTCCATAGTAATTCTCACCCTTTTTGCTGTAGGGTTGGCACTAGAAGCTTTCTTGGGGCCCATGGTGACTTATTTTGCAGGTGCAATCACTAAAAAGGCTGTGATAATATGAAATGTTCCAGTTGTATGTTTGGAAGCAACCGCGGTGGCTGGCTGGCTTGTAAACACTGGCACCAAAGGGACAAGTGAGGCGCGCTCAGGCCAAAGTGGACGCGTATGGTATGGAACGAATAGCGCTGATTGGGTTTTTAAGAGCTAGTCGAGGCAAAATTTTTGCATTAAAATGTATCGCTAGTCAGATTTATCATTAATCGATGCCATCGCTGGTTGAGGGTCCACTGTATATACATCTGAAACATTGGCTCGTAAGACGTATATATACGACCAAAACAGTCAAAGGGTTAAATGTCAGCTACCGAACCTATACGAAATACGTATGACATTTAAAGCACTCCAGAGTGATTATTATAAATTATTATTATTATTATTATTATTATTATTATTATTATAAATCATTATAAATTTCAGTGGAACCTCTACTTGCGAGCATATCCATGTGCAAGTTTTTCCAAATATGAGCCGTCGATGGGTCAAGTTTTTGCTTCCATACATGAGCAAAATTTCCACAAGTGAGCAGACCTCAAGGCAGGTTCCTTGACACTGGTGAGGGGCTCTTGCTCTTGATCTAGGGAATTATATCTCATTTGTTTGTTGGACTATCTTATTGAAATTTGGGCATTGTATGATGGAAAAATGCTTCTTAATGTACACCAAAAATGAAAGAAATCTAAGCATAAATAATGGAGTTCACTTCTCAGCAATTAGCCACCCCTTAGCGGTAATTTCGAATGGTTTTTATGGTTGTAAATGGTCCAAGTCGGACCGAAACGTCGTCGTAAGCTCCTCTCTTCTATGTGCGGGTTATTTGTGTAACATGTATAGTCCCTTTGTATGAAGGCAAAGGGGACAAAAGATAGTGTAAGAATTATAGGAGAATAAACCTGTTGGGTACGACTCATGAAATCGTAATGACACGATTGCAAACAAACCATACCATGGGCGGGACTTGAACCCGCGGTCAGAGAGTCTCAAAACTCCAGACCGTCGCGTTAGCCACTGGGCCAGCTAACTTCAATAAGATTCGTCCAACTAGGTATATTTCTACACCATAGGAAGGCTAGCATAGGCACCACTGTGTCCACAAATGCAAGTTTTTACAGACGAATCTCCCGTTAGCATGGCCATGACGAACTCTAGCTCAAGTCTCCTCAAAGCTGTCAACATGACATGAAATCGTAATGACACGATTGCAAACAAACCATACCACGAGCGGGACTTGAACCCGCGGTCAGAGTGTCTCAAAACACCAGACCGTCGCGTTAGCCACTGGGCCAGCTAGCTTCAATAAGATTCGTCTGACTAGGTATATTTCTACACCATAGGAAGGTTAGCATAGGCACCACGGGAGATTCGTCTGTAAAAACTTGCATTTGTGGGCACAGTGGTGCCTATGCTAACCTTCCTATGGTGTAGAAATATACCTAGTTGGACGAATCCTATTGAAGCTAGCTGGCCCAGTGGCTAACGCGACGGTCTGGAGTTTTGAGACTCTCTGACCACGGGTTCAAGTCCTGCCCGTGGTATGGTTTGTTTGCAATCATGTCATTACGATTTCGTGAGTCATTTTGACGGCTTTGAGGGGACTTGAGCTAGAGTTCGTCACGGCCATGCTAGCGGGAGATTCGTCTGTAAAAACTTGCATTTGTGGACACAGTGGTGCCTATGCTAACTTTCCTATGGTGTAGAAATATACCTAGTTGGACGAATCTTATTGAAGCTAGCTGGCCCAGTGGCTAACGCGACGGTCTGGAGTTTTGAGACTCTCTGAACGCGGGTTCAAGTCCCGCCCGTGGTATGGTCTGTTGGGTATACCTGGTAAAGTGTATGGTAGAATTATTATTGAAAGAATTAAGAGTAAAATGGGAAGCAGGATTGCAGATGAACAAAGAGGCTTTAGGAAGGGAAGGGGGTGTGTAGACCAAGTGTTTACAATGAAGCCTATAGGTAAACAGTATTTAAATAAGGGTAACGAGGTTTTCATTGCATTTATAGATTTGGAAGAGGCATATGATACGGTGGATTGGGGAGCACTATGGCAGACGTTGCAAGTGTATAGAATAGATGATAGGTTACTGAAAGCAGTTAAGAGCTTCTACAAGGAGAGTGAGGCTCAGTTTAGAGGAGAGGGGAAACTATTTCCCAGTAAAAGTAGGTTTGACTTGAAGAACATAGCTCCAATTACATGGATGAAGAGCCCTTCACACAATGTAGGGTGTTCCACACAATGTTTGTATAATACATGACACTACTCACCTGTTGTTAAGTAAAAGAACACAAATGCAACTAAAGTGACATTTTATCATGGCAATGTCAAATTATTTGCTCCTGTGTCCTTTTATCTAATATGCTGTTGGTAATTCAACCATTATTACTAACTCACCTGTTGCTATAATACAAGCGTTTTGCTCCCAGACTGAAATTTGACTTGGTGACTAGAGGTGACCTTGTAATACATCTTGAGCAGTACGCTCTTCCTGCCACCGCTGTCACATATTGTCTACCTGTCACCTCTGCCACATACGGTCTTCCTGCCACTGCCACATATGGTCTTCCTGCCACTGCCACCCCATACAGTCTACCTGCCACCATCAACATGGGTGTTGTCGTCCAACGCAGCATGGCACCAGCTGCAAGAAGTAATTCCTGTCACTGGGCACATAAATTTCCAACATGATATCTTGTTATTATATTCAAAGGGGAAGTTCTAAACCCATAAGGGTCATACAGCACCTTGGAAATGAGAAGTAATGAGGTGTGATCCAAGTTAGTGGATGGTACCTCCAATTTCTTGGAACAAAAGCCTTTCATTAGCATTACAAACTGCTTCATCATAAAATCCAGTAAAACTTACATTAGCAACAAAATACCAATTGAACTTGTAGAAATTGAGATATTTTCCAGGTAATTTAATAGTAATTATAATCTGTTGCAAATTATTAATTGTTGTAAATTATTGGTTGTAAATAATAGACCACTGTAAATTATAATTAGTTGTAAAGTTGTAATTTGTTGTAAATTATTATTGGTTATAAAAAATAGTCTTCCGTAAATTCTAATTAGTTATAAAATTTGTATTTGTTGTAAATTATAATTGGGTGTAAAATTATACAGCCTCTCCTCACTTAATGATGGAGTTCTGTTCCTAGGACCTCGCCAGTAAACGAATTCATCGCTAAGTGAGGAGAATACTATAATGGTAGTAGGTTTGTGGAACTTGCAAAAGTGGAGGGCTAGCTGTACTATACCAAACAAAACCAACTCATCCAACTACTTTCAGATTCTTTACCATCTCTTATAATCTTTCCTAGCTTGAAATCATAGAAGCAGTTTGAAACTACTCAAGAAATCTCAATTAACCTAAGATCACTAAATCAGTTTAGAATACTGAAACACACTTAAAAACTGTATTATTGTAAACTGTACTAACTGTAATATTTTTTGCTACCTCTCTACTGTAAATTTTACTGATCATAATTTTTTTGCTACCTCTCTTTTTGTAATAATGCATAATTAAAATTTACCAATCCATAATCTATATCTAGTCTTAGCCCTTTCAGGGTCCGTCCCATAGATCTACGGCTTTGAAGCCAGGGTCCAAGCCGTAGATCTACGCCATGAGCTCAGCTCACTCAGATAAGCTATAAGGGGTAAATTTGGGCCTAGATATGAGAGACTACACCTATGTGGTAAGTGTGCACCACATAAAACAAGTCCTGCAGCACACAGTGCATGAGAAAAAACTGTGACCTTAATTTTGGATTAAAATAGTGACTTTGCGGTGTTTTTTAGTATGTTTTTTTACAGTTGTATTTGCGATTTAATGGTCTCATTTGATAGAATGAAAGATATATTACAGAAATAGAGATAATTTTGATTGGTTTTAGTGCTGAAAATGGCTTGAAACTGAACTCAGAGTAACAGAATGTTCAATTTTTACCAATGTTCAAGAGTAAACAAATGTCACGCGTCTAATACGCGTCAGCTGGTAGGTCTGATACATGTTCACGAATGTGATGATATTATTTATACAAATATTACAATATTGCATAACAGTAAACTTTCCATTTTTTGGTGTGAATAAAAATTCATTATGTGAATAAAAAATCAAAATGGAATTCATTTGTAAAGCCTGAAAAGTAACTAATGAACAGAGGAAAAGTTAGTTTAGTGCCAGGAATGCCTGTATTGTTTATTCTGGACCCAATTTTGAAATTGGAATGTTTTGAACTTCGTGTTAAATTGGCCAAATTACTAATTTCCAATCACTTTAATGGGTAGTTACAACAGTTGACTGGGCAATTTCTTGTGCTCAATCGATAAAATAGAAGTATTACTAGTGAAATAGCTAAAAATTTGATTGACTGGAGTAATGTAATTGGCCTAAAATGGGAGTCAAAGTTGGCAAAATCGCCAATGTGTAAATATCACTGACACATCAAAATTCGCGAGTGTAATTTCATCAATTTTCCATCAAATTTTGTACTTTTTGTTTTATTACCTTCAGAAAAAGATTCTCTTCCATTTTACAAGAAAAAATAACAAAAATGTTTTTTGAAAATTCTTGGACCTTGGTTTCATTACCTTCAGAAAACTATTCTCTATCATTTCTTGGACCTGGGCTGTCACTCAGAGATTTGGCCTCTGGACCAACAAAAGGGAAGTAATCTGTAAGCATTAGTATTAGTCTGCCTGAACTGCTCATGCAGGCTAGTGGCTTTCTTTGTGTTTAACAATATTTTATTATATGTAAACCAGAGTTTGTATACTACACAAAGAAATAAAATTTGATTTGATACTGATTTTATTTGAAGAGTGGTGGAGAGTGTATTGCCTGGCACTGGAATGAAGAATGGGGGAGAGTGTTGTCTGACAGTGGTATGATGAGTGTGGCAGTGCTGTCTGACACTGGAATGAAGAGTGTGGTAGTGTGCCTGCCTGACTCCCTGCCTGGGTGCCTAGCTTGTTGCCTGCCTGGCAGGCTGCCTGGCTGGTTGCCTGGCTGGTTACATGCCTGGTAGCCTGCCTGGCAGGTTGCCTACCTGGCTCATTACCTCACTGGCAGGCTGCCTGCCTCATTGCCTGCCTACCTGCCTGCCTGACTCCCTGCCTGGGTGCCTACCTGGGGGTTGCCTCCCTGGCTGGTTGCCTGACTGGCAGGCTGCCTGGCTGGTTGCCTGCCTGGGAGGCTGCATGGCTGGTTGCCTGCCTGGGAGGCTGCCTAGGTGGTTGCCTGCCTGACACCTTGCCTGACTCCCAGCTGGCAGACAACCTAGCTGGTTGTCTGCCAGGCTGGCTGCCTGCCTGGCTGGTTGCCTACCTGGCAGATTGCCTGCCTGGGAGGCTACCTAGGTGGTTGTATGCCTGGCTGGTTGCCTGGCTGGTTGCCTGCCTGGCAGGCTACCTGGCTGGCTGCCTGCTTCATAGGCTGTCTAGCTGGTTGCATGCCTGGAAGGCTGCCAGGCTGGTTGTGTGCCTGGCTGCCTGCCTGACTCCTTGCCTGACTCCCTGCCTGGTTGCCTACCTGCCTACCCAGTTGTCTGCCTGCCTGGTTGCCTGGCTGGTTGACTACATGGCTGGTTGCCTGCCTGGGAGGCTGCATGGCTGGTTGCCTGCCTGGGAGGCTGCCTAGGTGGTTGCATGCCTGGTAGGTTGCCTGCCAGACAGGCTGCCTGGCTGATTGCCTTCATGGGAGGCTGCCTGGCTGCTTGCCTCCCTGGCAGGGAGCCTGGCTGGTTGCCTGCCTTGCTGGTTGCCTACCTGGCAGGCAGTCTGGCTGGTTGCCTGCCTAGCAGGCTGCCTGGCTAATTGCCCACCTGGCAGGCTGCCTGTCTGATTGCCTGCCTGGCTGTTGCCTACTTGGCAGGCTGCATGGCTGCTTGCCTGCTTGGCAGGCTGCCTGGCTGGTTTTCCTGCCTAGCAGGCTGCCAGGCTGATTGCCTGCCTGGCTCCTGCCTGACTCCTTGCCTGACTCCTTGCCTGACTCCCTGCCTGGGTGCCTAACTGCTTGCCTGCTAGGCAGGCTGCCTGGCTGGTTGCCTTCCTAGCAGGCTGCCAGGCTGATTGCCTGCCTGGCTCCCTGCCTGGCTCCCTGCCTGACTCCCTGCCTGGGTGCCTAACTGCTTAGCTGGTTGTCTGCCTGGCTGGTTGCCTGCCTGGCAGGCTACCAGATTTTTTGCCTGCCTGGTAGGCTTCCTAGCTGGTTGCCTGCCTGGCAGGCTGCCTCGGTGGGTGCCTGGCTGATTCCCTACCTGACAGGCTGCCTAGCTGGTTGCCTGCCTGACAGCCTGGTTGGTTGCCTGCCTGGCAGGTTGCCTGGCAGGTTGCTGCCTGGCAGCCTGGCTGGCTGGTCGCCTGCCTGGCTGGTTCCCTGCCTGGCAGGCTACCTGGATGGTTGCCTGCCTCCCTGGTTGCCTGCCTGGCCGGTTGCCTGCCTGGCAGGTTGCCTGGCAGTGCTGCCTGGCAGCCTGGCTGGCTGGTCGCCTGCCTGGCTGGTTCCCTGCCTGGCAGGCTACCTGGCTGGTTGCCTGCCTGGCTGGTTGCCTGCCTGGCTGGTTGCCTCCCTGGCATGCTGCCTGCCTGCTTGTCTGCCTGACTCCCTGCCTCGGTGCCTACCTGTGTAGCTGGTTGCCTGCCTAACTGCCTGCCTGATTCCCTACCTGGGTGCCTAGCTTATTGCATGCCTGGCAGGCTACCTAGCTGGCTGCCTGCCTGGCAGGCTGAATTGCTGGTTGCCTGCCAGCTAGGCTGCCTGGCATGCTGTGTGACTGGTTGCCTGCCTGGCATGCTGCCTTGCTGGTTGCCTGCCTGGCATGCTGCCTGGCTGTTTGCCTGTCTCCAGGCTGCCTGGCATGCTGCCTGGCTGGTTGCCTGTCTGGCAGTCTGCCTGGCTGGTTGCCTGCCTATCTGCCTGCCTGACTCCCTGCCTGGGTGCCTAGATTGTTGCCTGCCTGGCAGCTTGCCTACCTGGCAATCTGCCTGGCAGGCTGTCTAGCTGGTTGCCTGCCTGACAGGCTTCCTGGCTGGTTGCCTGCCTGGCTGCCTGCCTGACTACTTGACTGACTCCCTGCCTAGGTGACTACCTGCCTAGCTAGTTGTCTGCCTGGCTGGTTGCCTGCCTGCTTTTTGCCTGCCTGCCAAGTTGCATGACTGGTTGCTGGTAGGCTGCCTGGCTGGTTGACTGCCTAGCTGATTGCCTGACTCCCTGCCTGGGTGCCTACGTGCCTAGCGGGTTGACTGACTGGCAGGCTGCCTGACTGGTTGCCTGCCTGGCAGACTGTCTAGCTGGTTGCCTGCCTGGAAGGCTGCCTGGCTGTTTGCGTGTCTGGCTGCCTGCCTGACTACTTACCTGACTCCCTGCCTGGGTGCCTACCTGCCTAACTCCTTCTCTGCCTGGTTGCTTGCCTGCCTGGCAGGCTGCCTGGCTGCGTGAATGCCTTTTTGCCTGCCTGCCAGGATGAATGGCTGGTTGCCTGCCTGGCTGGTTGCCTGCCTGCCTGGTTGCCTCCCTGGCATGCTGCCTGCATGTTTGCCTGCCTGGGTGCCCACCTGTCTAGCTGGTTGCCTGAATGGCTGGTTGCCTGCCTGGCTGCTTGCCTGCCTGTCAGGCTGCCTGGCTGGCTACCTGCCT